ACAAATGTAATGTACAGTGAGCCAAGATTATGCCATTGCAATCCATCCTGGGAAACAAGAGCAAAACTCCATCTCAAAAAAAAAAAGAAAAGACTTACCAACGTAATAGTTTATATGTATAAACAATTCATTTGCCAAAGACACACCCAGCCCACCAAAAGAGATCATCTTCTCTAGAAAAACTAACAAAACTGCCATTTTAATACAATGACTCTTTGCTAATCCATGCTTTTTTTGGGAAGGCCCACAAGGGCATGAAGCCTAACATCTTGATAACCAGAGGGGGGAAAGAAAAGATACCTTGGAAACAATAAAGATGATTCAAGCATAATCACAAAATAATCCTAGTTTTCTGTAAACTTTCCTCTCAAACTGCTACGACTAAGTAACAACAAATTTTTAGCCTGTAACAGGAAACAATCACTCTGGATTTCCAGCCTACTCTCCCTGCAAAATTAAATCGCCTGTAAGCATGGAATATCATACTGGGACTTTTTCTGCATATCAATATCATATCTTTTATTAGATCATTTTTCATGTTAAATTTACCAATACGTATAACTAATTTTAAAAGCTTTAATCCAAGTTGTCTAAATATATGACTAACCCTATTATTTTCAAGAATCCTTGCATAATTAAGGCTGTTTGTGTTTGTTATCAACGTCATCACTATAGTGGCCATTTCTGCCTGTTCATCGAGTGTATGCATGTCCCCCTTTCTCTCTCCTAACAACACCCATTTATGCGTAGGTATCTATCCTGTCCCCCCACACTATGCAAATACGTAGAAGATGTCTCCCGGCCAGGCATGGTGGCTCACGCCTATAATTGCAGCACTTTGGGAGGCTGAGGTGGGTAGATTACCTAAGGTCAGGAGTTCATGACCAGCCTGGCCAACATGGTGAGCTCCATCTCTCCTAAAAATACAAAAATTAGCAGGACATGGTGGCACATGTCTGTAATCACAGCTAGTAGGGAGGCTGAGGCAGGAGAATCACTTGAACCCAGGAGGCAGAGGTTGCAGTGAGCTGAGATGGCATGATTGCACTACAGCCTGGGTGACAAAACG